GGGGGAGGGAGAGAGGGGGCAAAATATGGGCTGGGCAAGCCTGGCTGTTGGGTCCTGCCAGCTTCCCCTGCGTCCTGCTGCCCCTGTCTCTTGTCATCTTTGACAGACAGCCAGGAGCAGATAAATACAAATTTTCTAATTTTTTAGGGGCCCCAGGGGCCAGATAGAATGGCCTGACAGGCCATATTTGGCCCACGGGCCATATTTTGCCCACCCCTGGTGTGAATACTGCACCCGGGAGCAGTTTACTCTGGCTCAAACTACACCAGAGTTTATTGCACTGCACTAATTGCATGTATAGATGCAGCTGACAAGCTGTTTGTGAAATTGGTCATTCAACAGGGCATATTTATTCCTCTGTGTGAGTACTGAACCAATGCCAGAGCTTGGTGGTCTTGGGCACTGTGTTACTAACTTGACATCTCTTAGATACAGCCGTGACTACTTCAATTGTTAAAGATCCTAAACAAGATCATTACATTTTGTCCTCCTAAATGCCCCCCACCTTTAGTCTCTATTGAATGTTTGACATTCTTCTTCACTACCTGTCCTGTCCTAACCTGCTGTGCACTATTATTGCCATGTGCTGTCAGAAGGTTGCCAGATTCTACCTTGATATGGCTGCAGTGGATGGAACTACTCCTGTGTAGTATGTACAACGCTTATAAATGCAAAGCACTAACCCGGGTTTTCAAAACCAATCAGTTATTTTGGGTATTGAGCTTGAAGCACAGCAAAGGGGCCTGATTTTCAGGTAGTGCTGAGGGCTCACCAGTGACAGCCACTCCCCTTTTCAGGCATGTGAACTTGGACACACAAAACCACTAGGTGAATTTACCCTCAAAGCTATTGTGCATAATAAAATTGCAACAGTGAAAGTAATGTCTTTAGGGACAGACTTTTTTTATTTATATTGACCTGATAACTCTTGATTCTGCCCATTACCAGGCAGTGCCCAGGACTCACCCAACTCATATACAGAGCCCTGAGTGCAGCCCCATATATGCCATGATGTATGGGTTATCACCATTGAGCTCATCATTCTTTTCTATCTGCAACATCGTGCTGCTGCATCCAAACTGCTTAGGGCCAAACCTGTGCTCTTGCAGTTGAGGCACAAGGGAAAGTGAAGCAGTTCTGCCCACATTCTTATGTCCTGATCTGAATGTTGTGCCCTGGCCTTATGTACAGTGCACACTGCAGCTTGGGGCTGCGTGCTCCCCCCACAGTGGAAATCCTGCCCTTCTGCTGTTTGCTCACAGCTCCATACAGCCTCTCTGCTCCCTCCACATTTGAAAGAGAAGAGTTTTTAGCCCAAAGCAGCCAGGGGCTATGCCAATACATGAGCACCCAAACAGTGCTCCCAGACTGTTTTTCGTATGCTCATCAATCCTACATAGTTCTCAGCCCTTTGCAGGTGGGGGTTCTGCTTGGCAATAGAGGGTTTTAACATTCACCCCTCACCCTAGGGTGGAGATAATCCTGCAGCCCTTGGGACTTTCCTCCAATGCCATTACCAGGAATAAACAGGCAGTGGGCATCCTTGATCAGACACAAACAGTACAGTAGCCATCAATCACTCTTGGTTCTTCTGTGCAGCATGACATGCAGGTTTGTCCCTACGTCCCAGAGCTCTGATTCTCATCCTCTCCTGCTCCTGCAGCAGCTGCTAGCTCCCTCTCCCCTACCCTCAGTGCATCCAGAGACACACAGGAGTCCCACACAGATCCCCCAACATCGGCAGCTCCTTTTCGCAGCAGGCCACAAAGACAAGATGTCCTGCTATCCCTCTGTCCAACCAGCATCTTCTGCTTGCTCAGCCTCTGCTGATCACAGACTCAAGGACAGGCTGGATGTGTGGTGACTGCCTCAGATGCCCCCAAAGTATGTTTTCTTGCCTTTGTGCTCCAGAAGCCCCATCACTGACCAAGCTTGCTGCAGAAAGGTCCAGTCCCTGCAGAAAACTGACAGCCAAGCTGACGTGCATTTTTAGGCAGCCCCTTCTGCCACATCCATACATTTTCATAGCTATGTCATGGGGCTTGGTGTGAGCCACTTTGCTAAGAAGGGCCCATGGGGCTTCTGTCACAGATGTGCCCATGTTGTGGGGGGGAAGGATTGAGATCCCCATAGGAGTGGGTGGAGTTTCTTGCCTGACTTGCTGCTTTCAGCACAGATCAATTTCCTCTTTAAATAATAACAGTAATAATAATAAAACTCTGTCTGTGAATTCACAGCTCTGGGAAAGAAAGATGGTTTTGTGCAGCGGCTGGGGAAGGCTGATTGAATGGCAGACATGTTAGCACGGTGCACACTGCCTTCGCTGCTTCATTCAGGCTTTCAGCCCTGCATGCAGAATAGATTCTCCGAGTGCCCTTTAATTACCCCTTTTGATGGAATATAAAATTCTATTTTGACAGTATTACTGCTCTCTGAATTGCCTGCCTCTTTATGAATTTTATCAGCTGCCGCATGTCCTAGCGCACAGGGAAGAGGAATAGGAGCAGACCTTTTTGCGTAAATAGTTTCTAAATACCCCAAATTAATGGCACGTATTTCTCCATGGGAATGATGAAACTGTTCTCTATTTTTTCAGTCTGGTTGCTTCTGCTGTTGTCTGGTCTGGGAAGAAGAGTACTTGACTCTTCTAGCCTGCCCCCACCAGCATGCACCAATGCTGTCTTGTGCCTTTAAAATCTAGGATGACATGAAAATTTGAACAAGGATCCTCTATGATGGGATGTCCCCTCATCACAGAGGATCCTTGTACAAGTTTTCATAGCATCCTAGATTTTAAGGCTATAAGAGAGTACTGGACTGAATAATACAGACCATAGATTTCTCCCAGCAATTCCTGCGTCAAGACCAGTAACTTGCGGTTGAAGTAAAGCAGCTTTTTTTATGGCTATAACTTCACAACTGACTTTTTGGGGGGCTGCAGCATCACAGCCCCTCTTTGATAATGTAGGGCAATGTCATCAAGGCTGTAGCAGTAACGATGAAACGACAAGTGACATCGTAGCCTCTTGTGAAGATGCATCATGATGTCAGCAGAAGGTCAGGCAGGAGTAAAGTTGGGAGGCACCTCTTCTCTGCTGACACTGGTGCTGAGTCTGTGCTGGTAAAGCAAGTGCTACAATTAATGCACAGTTTTAGAAACTGGAAAAAAATGTCCAAGGGGAAAGGAGGAAGCCAAAGGCCAGCTCCTATCAGTGCAATGGCTCAAGGGTTGAATTGTTTTTAAGTTCCCATATATCCTGCAGGAAATTCCTTCTAAGCAATACCATGTTTCTATTTGTTTTTGTGGCATATGCCCCAGGCAGCAAAAATGCACAGTCCGTCTGAATGTGTGGGTGATAGAGGGCTTGTGTCCTGCCATCCTGGGTTGTATATTAAGCTAATCGGTCCTCTCCCTTTTTCTCTGTAGGAGGAGGATATTGAATACTACGACTCCAAGGCAGACACCGAATATGTAAGTACAATCCCTGCACCCTAGGTCACATGTCCTAGCTGTGTCATGAGCAGAGGGTACATGTGGACTGATGGTCTCCTTTGTCTGCCCTTCTCATGCACTTCCTACACACACTCAGGGCATCGTGCTACTGAGGAAGCTGTGGACATAGCAGAGCTCAGGTCTGGGGACTAAGGGGAGAAGAGCGAGCATAAGCAACTTGAGTTGGGGGCCTGCTTTTCTTGCTCTGTCACCTACAAAGAGGACCTCTTAGGGTCTGCAAAAGCCACTCCACCCAGTAGGTCACCTCCAACCTGCAGCCTGGGGAGGATTCCTCCCCTTCTTCGTACACTCCTTCTGTTCCACACAAAGCTCTGCCCTGCTGTCCCATGTGAGCCTGTGCCCAGGCTTCAGTGACCCATCAGCCAGAGCCAGGTGCACTTTCGCTCAGGCAAGTCACTTCGCTGCCTAAGAAAGTTTCTAAAATTAAAGCTGGCATCTGAAATTCAAATGAAGAGCAAAGCTTTAATTAGAGACTGAATCTAATTCTCTAGCCCCCCTCCCAGCAAAGCCATCCTGTGATTCTGGCAATCAGTGCTTTAAATATAAACCAGACAGCTTGAATTTCCCTGGGCTCCCAAGGGGGTCGGCATTTGCCAGATACTTTTGTGATGATAGCACTTAAACGGTGCTTTGTCTGTTCAAAGCACTTCACAAGCATTAGCTGTTGCCCTGTTTCACCCCAGAGGTGGCTGCATTTTACTGGAAGGTGATAGGTTACCTAGGTATGGAGCTTGTAAAGTACCTTGGGATCCTTTGTGAAGAGAGTTGCTCTATAAAAGTCAGACAGTTTGCTTGATTATCCTCTCAGCTGTGAGCTGCTGCAGTGGGGAGGTGCACTCAGTGTGCCCTCCAAGTTGGATGGAAGCCATAAGGCAGCATTGGCTTCTGCTTCTCACAGAGCTGCTTCCCCATAGACTTTATGGGGTTGGAACTGAAGATGGGGGAGGGAACATCTCAAGAAGGTGTGGGATAGTAAATAGCCTTTGCCATGCCTGCCCCTGTCAGCAGTTAATGCAGATTGTTGCCATCCCATGGCTTTTCTGTAGCATGCATGATTTTGATTCCTGATGAGGAGGTTACACATCACAAGAGCTCTGGTGCTGCACAGATGCTTATTTCCACCCTCAGCAGAGAAGTCAAGGAACAAAGGTCCCTGGAGCTGGAGCTTCCCTCGCTGCTGGAGGTGACACTCCTGAGTCATGGGTTAGGCCCTGCTGCTTCTGCTGACATTCTGGTGACCCTGCCCACCCTGCTGCTGCTTCCCTCTCCAGGGCTGTCAAAGCTGGAAACAGCAAGAGATGATGGGGTTTGACTGAGACAGACCCTTGTGAGCCAAATGCTCTATAAATTATTTTACATAAAAAATGGCTGCCTAGCCATGTTAGCAGCACAAAGCCTGACTGAGTATTGCCTAGACAGCAGTGAGAAGTGTTGCTTTCTGAATGCCAGAACGGTTTATTTACATAAGGCCAAATCCTGATGACCTTACCCAGATTTTCTTTCCTATGTTTGTGAGTATACTGTGTTTGAAGTCAAGAAGAGCTCTGATGGATGAGAAGATGACAGTGAAACCAGGACATAGTCCTGAGTGGTTGTGAAATTCCCTGATGTGAGAGGTTGGTTTAATTCCTCACTCATCCATGAGAACATTTGCAAATCCTGAAAGTTCAGTGAATTTGTAGTAAATTGTAGGATTTCCCTTTTGTTATATTTCTAACGTGCTTCAGGTTGCCCAATATGGAGGCAGAAATGAAGTCACGTGAAGTCTCACACCACATATCCTGAATAAGAAAAAGCTGCAATGAGCAGCTTACAAACCCTCCATCGTTGCCTGAAACTGATTTATTCAAACTACTCACTGAATACTTTATAAATATACATCCAGAAGGTGAGGCTGGATTCTGAGCCAAAGACCTGGGCTTGGCCTGAGAAATGGGATTCGTCCAGCTCTAGAATTTATACAAACATTAAGCAGTTTAGTTCCAAACAGCGCATCATATATTCAGATCTAGCTCTTCCGTCACAGTAGCTTTGAAATAACAAGAAAGAAGAGTGCCTGAGGGCCAGTTGAGATCAGATAAGATCAATTTCTTCAAAGTGCAGCTGCTGACAAAAGCTGTGGCACCATTTTCCCCTGCTGATGCAGCAGGGAGTCACACAGCCTGCCCCTCCTGTCCTGGGAATAGGAAGTTTGACAGGAACTTGCTACTGGAGGAATCAATAAATGGTGATGACAAATGGCAAGCAGGCATGACTTCCTTTTAGGGGAAGTCGGAGACTCTAATCAGCCCCTGTGAATATTTTGGGAGAGGAAAAGCAGAGGTGAGTTAGATGTTTTCATGAAAGAGAAGATGAGGCTTTGTTTTTTATTCACAGATCTCTTAACTACAGAGGGCCATATTTGCATCATTCGCGTTTTTACTGATCTCAAATTACCTTCAAGGCGACATGGCAACTCTATCATCAGCTAAGATGTTTAAAATCACATTGGATAAGGATCATTGGTGACTCAAGCAGTGATACCCATAGTTAAGGTTGCCTGACACTACCCAGCATAAGACTTTATATTCAGTTGCTTAGAGTGTTCCCAAATCATAAACATGTAGCTGAAATTTTTCATGCTGGATTGAGTCTGGGGCACAGTCTTTACTTTTATGATCTCATACTGTTTAGCCCCCAAACCCTTCCCTCCCCTCCCCTCCCCTTAGTACTCAGCAATGATCCGAGTTTTCCATTTGCTGCAGAAAAATGTGGATTTTCTT